TCCCATGGCATCTTCAGTATACACAAGACAACCACCAGGGAGGCTGTTCTGGAGGTCTGCAGTGTCCTCTAGGATGTGCTGGGGCACACTGTGCTCTGGGTGCTTGACCCCCCTGGTGGAGGTGGTGGGTTCCACGCCCTGGGGTTGCATCAAGGCCCTGGACAGGACCCAAATCTCCGTCACCTGCCTGCCCCATGGTGACCACCCCTACTACAGCAAGCAGGGCTTCCACTTCATTGTGCTGCAGGGCTAGGTGGGCTGCTGGGTGCTTGCTGCAGGCAACCTGCCTTCCCTGCCCACTTCCCAAGCCAGGACAGCCCTGGCTCCTGGCAGCACCTGCTGCTGCTGCTCTAGTCCCACTCCGCCACTTCCCCGCCTACAGGATAGACTGTCTCCTCCCTTGCCACCAGGCCCATGGCGCCTGGGCTTGGGGTGCGAGGGGCTCCCGGCTGACTGGGATGCAGAGCTAGTGGTGCCCCTGCCCTCTCCCCAGGGGACCACGCCAGGGAGGCGCCCCGAGGCAGGCCCCCCCCCACGCATTTCCTGTGCCCTGAGTGTGCCCTTGATGAAAGTGTCCCAGGTATGCCATGACGAGCTGTTTGCGCAGACTGAGGGGTGTCCGACCCACTACACCCTGCTGCTGCTGATCACCATAGTGCTCCAGGTGCACCTGAGAATTTGTCTTGGGACTGTTTTGATGGTGCAGTGGGCAAGCCCATGCTTCCATGTAATGTTCACAGCCTGGAGTGGTACCTGTGCCTACATTATGTGAGGGAAGGGAAGGGCAGCCCTCCTCCCAGTGTGGGGCTTACCTGGTGGGCGTGGCAGGCGTGCCCGGTGGCCAGAGTCTGTTCCCACTGGCGATGAGGATGTGCGGCTCCCACCAGTGTCCTGGGGTGCAGGGGTGTGGAGCTGATGGCTGTGAAAGCTAGGAAAGAAAGCCTCCTGCACCAAAGACAGTGGCTGGCCAAAACTGGATTGTGGTGACAAGACAAGAAAAATCAAGTCTCTGCTAATGGTTGCAACCATTAGGTGTAGAGAAAGTGGAGCTTGCAGCACCCAATACTAGACTATGATAACAATCATAATGAAGGACAGGGCAAGAGTGGATGAGGATGGTGAAAGCTCTACTGAGAAGAACAAACAGTTGCTCCGCTAGTGGGTGCCACTCACTAGGTATTGAGTTACATAAGCCTCAACCCTCTACCAAACCCGAGTCTAAAAATAAGAGTGAAGGTTCCTCTAAAAGGAAAAAATTGTTGGCAGAGACCTGACACACTCATCACATGCGTATATTCAAGCTGAGAGAGAAAGGCTGAGCTAGTGTAACTAGAGAAGGCAAGGAAACTACATATGCATTGCAGTTGAACTAGCAACTAAAGAAGACAAAAGACTAAATATACATTTCAAGCAAAACCTGTAAAAAGTCCAGTGAATACAGGAAAGATGTCCTGTGCGTGACAAAAAAATGCATGCCTTGCTAAACACATCCTCATATTTCTCAAAACAGGCATCCAATGTCTAAGGTGTTACAAATGTATCAATCATTCAATGTCTGTCTGGAGTTTTATAAATAGACCAATTGCCAGTACAAGCTATTGTAAATTTGCCCCATTGATAAACAAATACCCAAAGACAGGTAACCAATGCCTCTAGGTATCCTGTTTAGCCACTCAAGACCCATCGCATTTAATTGCTGAGCTAGTCAGTAGCTGTAAGAAACACAGGTCTTCACACCTGGACAAATCCAAAAACAGGAGCTAGGCAAAGATAAGAACTGCTTCCTGCAGTTAGTCCCAAAGTTTATCCTAAAGTTAGTCCCAAGTTACTGTGCAGTTAGTCCCCAAATCAGTCCCCACACACAGTGTTACTGCGCATGATGCAGGTATCAAATTTATGCTCAAGTTGGCATAAGTTGCCATATTTACTGCGCAGTATGGGCATGCACATGTAGATGTATTGAGCAGTAATTTTGTTTACTGTGCAGTAAATGCACACATGTAAATGTGTCCTGTATATAGTGCTTAAAAACCATTAAAAAGAGAATACTGTAATTTATCCCCAAAAGAAACTCTCCATTTACTGGAAACCCAATTTAATAAGTAAGCAGCAACAATTGCTCCATCAACTTTGATGTTTTTATCCTGTGGCACCTGTATAGTTTGTTTTCCCGAGTACTCACATTAACACAGACATCGTATGCCATCTCTCCAAGGACTTGACTGAAATCACATTCTTACATGAGTGCTTTGCAAGTTATGCTTTAACTAGTTCATACAATTTTTGTAAATGATAAAGCTTACCTTATATTCTGTGCTGAATCTAGGTGGGAAGTTTCTGTGGAGCTGAAATATAGATGCAATGAAAAATTAGATAGAAAAAAGCTATTAAATACAGCAACCTGACAAGATTTCAAGCTAGTTTACTAAACCTTTTTTGTACTATAATTGATAGTATGCATTGCACCTGTAGGTACATTTCCGTAAAACGTTGCTTGCGTGTAACTAACATTACTTTTTGCTTAGGAGTGGCAGAAACAGAGATATCAGTTTCTCCTTCTAGGAGAAAGTAATGGTGCTATAGTTGGGAGAATGTCTTTGAATAAATAATTTTCCAAATAAGCTCATCCTCACACTTAGCTGGGAATGCAAGGGTAGTTTAAAAACACATAATGCACATAATTCCTCAGACTTATCTGACCATTATCTCAGGGATGCTTTCAGTTTACTTCATTCCAAGCCCTTCCATCAGCAACAAGTTGAAAGTAAAATAGCACTTTGCATAGTGTCTACATCAGGACAAGAAAGCCAAAGCTCAGGGTAAGAGACTGTGGAAGCTCCTAAGAAGTATAGGCTACCTTGTCCATATATGATCACTGTAATATGAAACACAGAACAAAGTATACTATCCTTGGACTTGGGGGTTGCTTTTATACAAATGGGCCTTGGTAGAGGCAGTGTGGAAGACAGACAGTACTGCGTGCCAGGGTACTGTTTCTTGAACACTTCATCAGTACATCTTCTTAGTATGTACTGTGGGCTGATGTAAGGGTGAAGACTCAGCCTAACTCTTTTGGGATGATTGGTACTATCAATTTCATGCAATCTCTGATCTCAGGTGAGATGTGGAAGTTAGAAGAACCTATACTTTTCATCCTTTTTACTGGCACTGTCAGGGGAGTTAGTGGAATTGCTTTCATTCAGCTTGCCAAAAAAGGACTACAAAGCCTGAATGACAATCACCAAAGAAGAGGGTGGAAATAGCACTGTTTGAGGGGAAACACATATTATGCACCAGCATGACCAGTTCATTTGTTTCTCTTCAGGACTGGGAGATAATTAATCCAAGTTTAAGAGAGCACAAAAGCATGTCCTGGGATAGATTAGCTCAATGCAGCATCAGATCTACAAGGAGGTATAAAGATGGATGCTTGTGGTCCACTGTGGAGACCCTAGAGCAGAATGGGGATTCCTTTGCTCCAGGATAGTTTAGAAAAAAAAATATTCTGAGCCATCTGATGAGGAAAGAGACTTGGGAAATCTTTTTGTTAATGATAAAAGCTACAACTTGGACAAGAAGCTGACACAGGTGCAAATTACTTTTTACTTGAAAAACTGCCAGGGGAAGTTACAGGAAAGGGCTACAATCAATCCAATACAATCAGATGAGGCAATAGTTTCTTAAAACCATTTACTTACCAGGACAGGGTGTGAAAAGGGAAAGGAAGGAAGTTTTACCACCTGCACTTAACTGATAAAAAAAGGTCTCCAACACTGGAGTCAGTTATGATACAACATGTAGGGCAGGGACACTGAAGGAAAGCCCCCTCCCAAAATATTTTATTGATATGTTCACCTGCTACTGGGACTTGAAGAACTGTTTGTATGATCTCCCTTGTCATATGGAGACCTTCAGTAAATCCTGAAATGAAGCTATACCAAGGGAACCACATCCTGGCAAAATGCCAAAATCTCAACCAGTAGCTTTCAGAATCAAAGGAATAGAAGAGTTGACTGTTGAATGTTGTTTTGATTGACGCCCTTTTTCATTTCTTTCCAGAGAAATGCATTCTTTTCCTCTTCTGGAACTGATGTCCACTACTGAATGAGTAAGAGCTAGCAAACTTGTCTTTTTGCTCTGAAGACCCAGATTCATGCACCTTAGCCTACATAGGAAAAATGCCTACAATGATTATTGAGGGGTTCTTCCCTTTATGTACAAGTTGCCTGGGTACCCAGGTTAAATATATATTTTTAATATTCCTTCACTGTGTAGTTCAGGATGTCTCTAAGGAGGTAAAACACTGGCCTCTGGTAGGAGGAAGAACAGGTTAGTATTAGAAACACTTTGAAGAGGTCACAATAGGACAAGATGCAAAGTTCATGATCAGAAGCTTTGTGAGCCCCTGAGAAGAACAACCTGAATCTAAAATGTTAAACAGTGAGAGTGACTGATATGAACTCTCTCTCAAGTAACCCTCTTGCAAGAAAAGAGGTGAAAACTCTCTCCTCAGGAGGAGTTCACTGCTCAACAGGAGAAACACTTAAAAACTTGAACCATAAACACCCATTTTTCTGGAGATATTCTCCTTGAACTCTTCAATCCAAAACAGATGGAACAGAGGATAAGAGATGTCCCTGCCAAGTCAGTCTCCAGTTCCACATATAAAACACTGTTCAGGAAGGAACTAGGGAAAGGGACCTCTCATCACTTACGGTAAAAAAATAAATAAATCCTTAGAAACAACTGAAGAGGGTATGGTGATTAGAGAGGGACATTTTAGAAGCATCTTAAGAAAGAGATGAGGGAGCAGGAGATTGTGAAGCCCTGGCAGATATACATATTATATCCTTGGCAGACACTGCAAAGAACGGCACTTTCAGACAGATTATAGGAAAAAGACATTCCAAAGTGGAACGCTGAATTAGGAATCAAGCTTCTTGACTCCTTGTTAGACTTCTAACTCTTGTTAGACTTCTAACAAATGAATTTATGAGCCCAAAACACTGGAAAAGTTCCTGGGGAAGGCCTGACAGAACCACTGACTGAGCTTGGAGTGACAAGAATGACAGCCTAAAACCCAACCAAATTTACTGCAGTGGTGTGCTGGAGCACTACATGTAACTTGGTCCCAACATGGAGGACTGATGATCTCCATAGCAGCTTGGAAAAGATCTACATTTTGACTGGTTTGACTCGGTCCGTTTTTCTTCCTTGAATAAAGACTGAGGCAACAATAAAATAAGTCCAGTTGACAGATCAGCCAGAAGCACGAGGAACTTCTTGAATCAAGGCAGGAAGCAAACTGGATCACATACATAAAGGGAGCCAGACAAGGGCCAGAAACAGAAGCAAATGTGCTTCATTCAGACTGGCACCTTCCTACATAATTGAAGGATAAGAAGATATAATCTGTCTGTCTTTACCAGCACTACATTTCCTGATTTGAGACTGAGCCAGGTAATCTTGGGGCAATATAGACAGCACACAATACACCGCCTACAGTGATAACATGCAAATCTCACCTCGCTGGACATAAAGAGATGTAGAGCACGATGAGAAGCACTGCTCCTACAACAGTGGCCAATGAAGATCTCATCCAGGAGCTAAGCTGGCAGAAGTTACAGTACTGAACAATGGTGATCAGAATGGCACAACACATAAACATGGTATACTGAAATGAAGAAAAAGAATGACAAGTTAGCCCTTTCTTGTTGATCAAAGAACCTATACAAACAAACAGTTTAAATAAAGTAAGTTTATTGCCTCAGTGTAAACAACTCAATGTCCTTGACATAAAAATTATTTGAATATTAAGTAGTCTAATACATTGTCTTTTCAGTTAACCCAGATAACTTTTTCAGAACTTCAGCAAGCAGCACGAGACTAGAGAAGTTTTTGCAATTAGCAAGAGAGCTTCTACCATAAGTAATTTGTAAAATTTTTGCTAGAGGTTATTCTGAGTTACAGCTTTTTTATTGTAATTCCTTCTGCATCTCTAGTTTATCATTATACAGTATTGAGATCCTCTTGTTCAAGAAACTGAGTCTGAACATTCACAGATTATCATCATTTAATACTCCAAATTTCCTCATTAATTATTTTTTATAAGGCTTCTCATTAAATCATGCCTGAGTTTTAAACTAGATACTGGATGGAAAGTATGAAACCTATTCACTCCCAGGAACATAGTCATACTGGCTGGCAGATTATTATTATTTCACTAACAGCTGAATTTAACGTGAAAGTTCTTTTGATGAACAGAGGTGGGGCACAAATACAAAAGTGTTGATTGGCATTTGCATTGACCTAAATGCACAGTACTAGATTTTTTTTCTTTCTATTTAAGAAATCGCAGAAAATCTCCTATTTTCATGTATTTACTATGTAAGTTGCATTTTCAGAAATATCTTAATTAAAATGCTCTTTATAGTTTTTCAAGATTTCTAAGTTGCTCCCCTTTTCTTTTATCATGAATGGAATGGGAGAGCATGCTTTGTTACATAGCCATCAGGTAGAAAATGAAAATCTGGAATGTTATAGCACAACAGTTAAGCAAAATAGTAAGGGCACATTCCTATTCGTAGAATAGTTTATCCACTAAATACAAACTAATAAAGTTTACATAACTCATTTTTAAACCAAAAACAAAGATACAAATGGCTAAATGGAATTTTCAAACTTCCACACACAACTTAGTTTAAACTTACTTTTTTCTCCCATTTCAGGTCTCCTAAAGTGGCAGAGCACTGGTTCTCACTCCAAGTGATGCCCCAGCATGAAGCCAGCCTAAAGAGGGTCAGTAGGTGTCGTGTTTTACTACGTAAGCATGGCTTTGGAAAGTTTTTTTTTTTAATTGTTATTTTATATCCAGGGAGGGTATAAAATGCTATGAATAAAAAAAAAAAAAAAAAAACTTTGCAAAACCATGTCATAGTAAAAGATGACGCTTACCTGACCCTCTATAGGTTCCATGTTCCCAGAGCTCCATAATTGTTGCAACTTCACTGAGTGCAGGAATATCTGGGACATTTCTTGGAGAGTGTACCAACAACCCCACAACTCTGGGGGACCTGCAACAGAAACGAAGGGGAAGTTCATAAATGGTCTTCTGCTGAATACAATGCTTTTACTCACTACTGCTTGAGGCATTCAATGGGTATGGCCCACAAGGTACAGAGAGACCCAAATCCTAGTGTTATCTTTACTTGATTTATTTTTTAAATAGTTAGATGATGATCAAGCACTGTGGTGACCGTGTAAGACAAGGCTATAAAGAAATCAAACAGTTTAAACTGCTTATCATTTCTGAGGATCAGGCCTATGATTCTGCCATTTTCAATTAAGAAAACTGCAGTTTATTTCCTTCAAATTAAATATATAGTTAAAAGGTGATAGTATCTTCACTTTCATTTGTAAATTGCTGAAGGGAAAAATAGCTAATAGACCCATTTTGAAGAAACCCAATAATTTATATCTTGCATATTTACATCAGCATATTTTGACAGTTTCCCAACACAGCGTTGATGTTCATACAACAAAAAGACATAATCCAGCATTACTACTATTTCTGTTGCTGAACTTTAGCAAAGAGCCATGCAAGTCATTAGGGATATTCAGTTCCTTACTGTATAAAGAGTTCCAACTCTGGCATTTTTTTCAACATAACAAAAAAATCCTGAGATGTGTTGATATTTATTTTCACTATTTTTAAAATCTAAAATCAAAACTAGAAAAAGGTGCTTTATACTATTAGCAATACCAACATGTATATAACAAAACACTTTAACTGAAAAGGGAAATACTGCATTAATTCATATAATGTATATACATTTAATATGACTCCATTTTGTATGTCAACGTTTTCAGATAATAATGGTTTTGATAAGTAGGTTACACTGTTCTTACATAATTAATTATGTATGCTAGCGCACAGAACCAATCCTATCCCTGCTGAGATGTATATAAAATAAAAAGGGAATGAAACTTGGGAGAAGACAGAAAGGCAGGTAACCAACTCTGTTACATCTAAGACAGTCAGATAATATTATGCAATACAATATTCTCCAACTTACATGGATGTTTGTTTCAAACTCATAGGTGACATGGGAAAAGACAGCAAGAGCAGGGAGGGACACCAGAATTGCACCAATGAAATGTCGAGGCAGCCAGCCTGCAATCACCTCCAGGAGACGCTTAGTGCAAGTCATCACCTCCTCCAGAAAGAATGCCATTCTGAAACAAAAGCACTCAACCTTAATTTTTTTCAAATTATCAGCCAACATGCCGTATTCACCTATACGAATACGGTAACTCCAGTAGCTATAGTCCTAGTTGCATAACCAGTCAAAGAATAACCTCCAGTAGTCACTTGTGTGCATTGGTAAAAGATAAAAGTTATTTTATTTTTTAAAAACTGAAGAAAAATCATTAGCAATTAAGAACGTGTGAAAAATAGGTGTCTGCCATTTATTAATTTAAAAATTTTCATTAAGTTAAAGAATTTGTTTCAAATACGGGTGCCCAACTGGTGGCATCTGGCAGTTAATTTGTGGCCCTGGGGGCTGCTGCTGCCTCCATCACTCTAGCTGAAGCTGCAGCCATGTTCTCCAAGCTCCCTCTATCTCCTCCAGCTCCTACTTCCTGCCCCTGTGTACATAAGAAGGTGGTGGCAGGTCGATGCATAGGATGCAGTTGGGGGATGGTATCCATGTGCAGGTTACAGCTAGAGAGCCATGGCTCATGCTGGTATGACCCCTGCTGGTGTGGCGTATGGGCATGAGATCCTTGGCCACTTTGAAACTGGACAGTCCTTGTTTACAGTAACATTACAAGTGCTTGAAACGTGGGGCTGTATGTGCTATTAGCAAATCTGTGAATGTTAACTGCAGACTTAGAAACTGTTCAAGTATTTGATTTTCTAACATTTTAAAACCATCAGAACCAGCTCTCTGAAATCAGACTTAGTTACCTCTTAGTAAGGAACTTGAGGAGGATATGGGTTGACAGCTGGCACCATTAACAGCACCCTCAGTGTACAAAAAGAAGTCATGCCAAGCACAGCTGAGGGCAGCTGACACCTCTCACACTTCTCTTCTGGCCTGTTTGTATTTATTATTGCAGCCATCAGTGCAGCTGGCACTGTACAAAAAGCTCCTGAAGAAATGGTTCTTACTTCAAGGTGCTTACTACCACATTTACTTGCATACCACATGCACCCTTCCCCTCAAAATTAGCCATCCAAAATTAGGGGGTATGTTTTAAGTGCGGAACTTGATTTCTGTGCCCGAATGAAGACATGGGAACACTGCAATGGCTGCTGGGGGCTGTGCTGCCTCCCTAGGCATATGCAGGGGGGCAAAGTCCAGTTCTCTGCCAAATTGGCAACAGCTTTTGGCTGTGAAGCAGCAGCAACTGTGACAGAGTTAAAGCTTTGAGCAAGAAGACGGGGTGAGTGATTAGGGGTGTGCAAAACGGGACCTATTCTATTTGGATTCAGCCCGAATCAGGGACAGTGATTCAATTTGTTGATTCGGATCGCTGTCCCTGATTCAATTTGGCCGAATCTGAAGATTAGATGCTGATTCAGAGAATCAGCGATTTGGACATAGACACAGCATTAAAAGTTTTCCTACATACCTTGAGGTACCAGCGTGGCTTGTGAACGCTGTGATACTGGGGCTCATGGAGCATCCCACAGGAGTGCGGGGGGGAGGGGGCTCCACATGCTTGGCAGTGAACCCAGAAGTACTTCCGGTCCACTTCCGGGTCCCGGATGCCCTCCCGGCCAGACCCAGGAGGCACCAGTCACCGAGCTGGGGGGACACGAGGGGGCCCCCCCGCAGGTTCCCCAGTGGACCTGGAAGTGGACCGGAAGTACTTCTGGTCCACTTCCAGGTCTGCTGCTGAGTGCACTGGGGAGCCCACTGCACTTGCGTGGGATACTCCTTGTGCCCCAGCATTGCAGTATTCATGAGCCTCCTGGTACCTTGAGGTATGTAGAAAAAACATTTAAAGCTGTGTCTATGTCCGAATTGCCGAATCTTTCCGAATCGATTCGGAGGGCTCCGATTTGATCTGGAGAGATTAAAGGGTCCTCTGATTCAATTCAGGTTCAAAGATTCAGCCACCGAATCAGGCCGAATCTCCACCGAATTGAATCAGGGACCAAAGCTTTGCACAGCCCTATGAGTGATGCTATGAGTGATGCTAAGCACTGTATTCTTCCCCTCCTGCATGTATCCAGGAGCACTGAACCATGGCAAGACCATGCTGTGGCAGGGAAGGCCGTGGAAAAATATTTTTTTCTTCATTCTGCCTTCCTAAAACAAGATGCATGTCTTACTAGGGGAAGTGCAATATCCCAGAAAACAGGGCAGTTAAAGGTCCAAACCCATCTGCTGCAGCTACACATATCCTAGCTAATTCACAAACCCTCATCTTCACAAGGGGTTAAGGACCTTAACCATACAAAAATCCACGTTCTACTGTATTACTACAGAATTTAAATTAAAGTGCATCTGTCTTTATATTGTTACATTAAACTACTTCCGTCTTTCTTAACAATATGACCAATTACTAGAAAGAGACACATGGTTTTACATCTCATCAATCATCACCAAAGATGACTGTCATATGAGAACTGCCTGCAACAATGTTTAAAAAATATCTGGAATTTCAACTATTCAAGGTTCTCATGCAGTGAGACAAAGCATGGGTACAGAGCATAGGCCTCCATGTCATGAAGCAGTACCATACAGGGACATTCAAGTTAGGTATTAAGGTGCTAGCCTAAGTATCAGAAGCAGTAAAGGTGCATTAGTATGGTGTTTTGCCCAAAGCGCTGTGCTAAGTTTCCCTGCAATGGTAGTCAATCCAAGGAGAATGCTTCTGGAAACTAAGCTAGCTCCTTCAGACCCAGCTTTGATATCTGCGCCTGATACTAGGCCTGTATGAAGCAGCAAGCATTCACTTCAGATTCAGATTCAGTCGATTCGGAGGGACAGCGATTCGATTCGGGTGATTTGGATTCAGAGATTCGGCCACAGACTATAACAGGGAATCACTAAAATACCTATAACTTTGTAATTTTCTTTGCAGATTCAGATAAAAACAGCAGGGATGGTAGCTGAGGGCATGAAGCCTGCCAAGTTTCAAGGAGATAGTGCAGGGGTTTCTGTGAAAGTGCACCTCAAACTGTTGAAAGTAAACCTCGTATCACTTATGTGTGTTAAGGCCAAGCAGGATGAAAACAGCAGGGATGGCAGCCCCTTTGTGCATCCATGAGACCTTGCTGCGAACCTTCCAAATATCCGAATCTCTCTGAATCAATTTGGAGGCTTCTGATTCAATTTGGACCTTTTAATGGGTCTCCCGATTCGATTTGGCCACCAAATCAAGCCGAAACTCCTCTGAATCAAATCTGCTACCAAAGCTTCACACTACCCTACCTGATACTGTGGTGTGTCATGTGTACATACTAGCAGTTACTGTACCAGGGACTACTCACAAAAATTAGGTCACTTACCGGAACCAAGTTTCACATGCAGGTATCAAAGAAATATGCAAAGAATAATAGTCATACACTTAGAATTACTCAGCTCACTCACTGAGAAGCAAAAATGTCTTTTTCTACTGTATTTTAGACTTAAATGAAAGGCATGATGGAAGTGAAAGGTGAAAGCTTGGCAGAGCTAAAGTTCTCTGGATAGACTTAACATTATTATTCTTTTTCTTTAGGTGGTCTGATTGTTTGTTACTGTAAATCATTTTTTAATTTCTGAACTTTCTTTTTATAGTTTTTGTGAAGGAACTACAACATTCTTTTAAGGGTTCAAGATTCCATTTCTTTTCTTTCCTCTTTTATTGTGTTACTGCATGTAGCAGGAGCTGGAGTCAAGCCCCTGCTACAAACCAGAGAAGCTGGCCTGGCCAGGGAAGAATTCACCTGAGCACACCCAAGAGAACCACATGGCCACAGGCAGACCAGGAAAAGGGTCCGGAGGTAACCTGGGGAAGGGGCAGGCCTCCTAGGGCACAGGGTCACGTGTCTGGAGGAGCCCACCCTCATTGGCCCAGTGGACTGGCCAGGCAATTGAACAGAAAGCCAGAAGACAGATCAGCATTTGGCATCTCCCAGAGAGGGGAGAGTACGGCTTAGGCATAGAGCTGTACATCCTGTGTGGAGATGTGGGATGCAGATGGCCAAACCAATGAGTCCCACAGAAGCCAGGACAAACCTCAAGTAAAGATCTGACCAACCTGACAGAGAGAGATAAATACAATGGGTGGCCGGCTTCATAAGGGGCTAGTCTGGCAATTCTGGGGATTGGCAGAGCTGGGATCTGTACCTGAGGCACCTGGTAAAGGCATGGCAGTGTCGTGAATAGATAAGAGATTGGAAGAAAATTAATTTAGGGACTGAGAATGAACTTAGAGAAATGATCAAGAAGCAAGAAGGGAATTAATTTACGAATTATGAATGAGTTTATAGGAATGGTTAGGAAGCATGAAGTAAATTAATTTATTGTGTTTGAATGAATTTGTGGGGGTGAATGGGAAACCCATAAGTGAATTAACTTACGGAATTATGGAATTTATAAGATTACTTAAAAGAAAAGGAGTGAACTAATCTGACGACTCCACGAGCGAATGTGCATAACATTATGTTTATAAATAACCAGTCGACATAACATCCGAATAGTGATTTTATGAGAGGAGAGACAAGAGAAGTTAACTGACGGTATAAGGAATATGGAAGGAACCCAGAGAGAGGGGCCCAGACTGGAACCTTAACATAGGACTGGTGACAATCTTTCACGACAAACCCGAGCAGAAAGGGAACGGATGTCAGGGAGGTGGCCCTGCAAAAGAACCAGTGGCCTAGCCAGATGGATCTTCACCCAAAGAATTACCTAACCTCCCCACGAAAACCAAAACATCAAGGCATGGCAGGAGTGCGAGACAAAGGTCAGGCCTGTTCCAACATAAAGGGCACTTGAAGATCTATATGCATGTACACTGCAATGTAATACAAGCCTTTTTGTTTACATGGGAACACCTATCTTCATAAAAAATTTTGAATAGCAAAAAAAAAAGAGAGAAAGAGATGTACTGTAATTTAACAAGTGTCCCACAAGAGGGAGATACTAGACTTTTAAAACAGACTGGAAAATACAAAATCCACTTAACAGATTTTCATTTAAGCACAAATAAAACAAAAAAATCCCCAAGCA